GAATACTGAAATCTGTATTTTTTGTCATCTTTTTTTCCTTCTAATTTGTTATTATTTGGTGCAGGCACGAAACATACTACCAATAGAAATACATTGCTTCTAAAATCCTTCTGTGTCAGAATACTGAAATCTGTATTTTTTGTAATCTCTTTTTCCTTCTAATTTGCTATTATTTACATTACTTTTAAAATCGTTCTGTGTGACACAAAAAAAATGGCAAAATAGATTCGCCATTTCAATAGATTAATTTCGTGACTATAACACAAAATGCCGTGAGACTGTGTTGGATATTGACGGCATTTTGTTGGCTCAATTTTGGCTCTCTTTTTTTCTCCGTTGTCCACGTTCCCTGCTGTAAACCACGATTCCATTTCAATGTCTATTTGTTATAATATAATATTGCAACTGGCTTTCCGCTCAGCGTGGTTCCAGGCTAGAACCTGATTTAGCTCTGGTTCTTCCTGTTTCCACCGCAGCGCAGCCGGCTCTCAGTACCGAAACCCGGTTCTTAGCTGGCCCCACTCGGCTGCCCGGCAAGAACCAATACGCTTACGTCGGAGGGTGGCGAGATTAACCTGAGCAATAACAGTTAATGGCGAGTACGGCATTAAAAGTTGTAACAAGCAATAGCGCTGAGCAAAGTGACTAGAACGCAACCACACACTAAGAAGAACCAGTTAAGCACCAGAAAAGCACAAGAACGGATCTTGAACCCTTGGTGGTTCTAGGAATATTTACTATAAAATTGTATTTTCTATTTAACTTATTGTACTATGATTATTTTTGTAATCATGCGTGGTATTTTTTTAATTAGCCTTTATTTATTTTTTATCTCCCGTACCCCCTGCAGTACCCCAACGTACCCCCAGGGGTCCGCATATCCCCATTTGAGAATCACTGGCTTAAAGTAATACTTCTGCATACAGTATGTGACAATGTAAGTGTTGCACGGCCAGATACGGCTCAAGAAGCTGACTCAGATAAGGAAATATATGATACATTATGATGTGATATGAATGATAATGACACATCGACGTCTGCACTCACAGTGCCGCGGACGTAATGTTACTTTGATCCGGTTACTTATGTTGTGGCAGATAGGTCTATTTAAGTAAGCTTTCTCAATGCTAATGTTATAATAGTCAGATTGCTCTGAAGTTGGGAGGTGATATTCTATTAATTTTCACATTCACACTGTTGATTTTTGCCGGCCGTCTTTCCTGCAACGGCAGTTTTTCTGTATTTCCTTTCTCCTGTAATGTGACTTGATAGCTTTAAACTCTGCACACTGAGCTCTGATTGGTCAGCAGGCGGTGCTTTCACTGAGTTGATCTCTTATCCTGGAACCAAACCTGCGCCGTTCAGCATAAGTTACCATGGAGATCTACCCCGGCCGGTAAGAAGAGAACCAGCGTCATAGGACCGGAAACCCAGAGTTAACCCTGAAGTTACCTCGCTAATGGCATATTTCCACTGCAGCGGGGTAGCCCCGTTTAAGCGTCCCTAAGCGTCCTCGCTCAGGCCTCGGGCTGCCTCGCTGGCCGTCCGAGGCCGTGGCGCATTTCCATTACAGTTTAGGACCTGGGGTAGCAACGCAGTGTAGGCGGGGCGATCGGCTTTTTTTTTCACATTTCGAGTTGTTCCGTCGAGCTCCCGCTGGATTTTATCATCCCCAATGAGATGTAGGAACGTCATCACCTCCTCGGTCGACCACGGTGTGCTTTTCTTTGACGTTGCCATTTTTGTAGCTCCTCCGTTTACAAAAATGCTGTGTATAAAAATGCTGCAAGCTTGCTTCTAGATATATATGCGACGCTAGGTATGATCTCGCGCACGATCTTGTGACGATTCTCTCTGACCAATCAGCAGTCGAGAGTGTTGACGTCACTAGTTCAGCCCTGGCCCCATAAAATCGTGGTTCTATCAGGCCCTGGCCCTGGTGCGGAAAAAGAGGGAAAAAGTACCCGCTAGCCGGTGCTATGCTATATGGAAAGGCCACCAAAAACTGGCCTGGCCGCTTGAGGACGATTAAGGACGCTTAAACGGGGCTACCCGCTGCAGTGGAAATGCGCCATAAGCAAAAATCCAGCTTCGTAGTACAGGCCTCTGCCAGAGGCTGCGTATTTTCAAATTCTAGCACACTTGAGCTGGTTTCTCCATTCTTACCTACCCTACCTTTAATGTTCCCACCCAGGCAAATATAAACCCTGCAGTCTATGATGGGAAGTATTCCTGGTGTAAATCTGTTAGTACAATGTGTTTCTTAAATGATATATGAAGATCCCACACATGAGTTCAGGTCACTGGTGGAGTTTATTGGGTCAGACATGACTACAGTCACTTTGGTCCCTGCAGGAGAGAGAGGGCTTCCACTTCATATATTTGAAAATTAAAGTACTATTATCATGGTTCTTTTTTATAAATGTATATTTATTTGTATCATAAATTATATCTTTATTAATATGAATTATCAGGTAATGTTGTTACATTTTAAATAAATGTAACACATGAATTTGGGGGAGGGCCATTGTAAGTACACACAAATATTAAAGTAATACATTTACGAGGATATTCTCTGAGATCAAAGGGGTATAATTATTTATATAAGAAAAAACGTTTTTTGTTTATTTGGTCAAGAGACCCTAACCCTCCCTTCAGTCTCCCCCTTTCAACTCGACAAATATCCAATAAGGGCACGCTGGTCCAAAAGTACCTTTAAAAAAATAGACCCTTATGATGTCACAATTATATCATCCAGGTTTTCTCTGTTTCTGATTAAGAAACAAATATTTACCACAAAACCTGCATTACCAACTGGAAGCATGGAACTATTGAGTTGTATTATAGGAAATGTAGGATCCAATGTTTTAGGAGCTATACAAAAGACTTAAAGTCAGACAGAAAATGAACTATTAAAGAAATAACCTTTAATTTGAACATTAACTGCACTACTTTCATTTTATATTATAAAGATGGTATGCTTGTTCGGTTTGTTGTTGAAACTGTCCAGCACTTCCTGAATGTCTCCATCATCATCTGCAGATTGTTGCCGCTGCCATAAATCCTTTGGTTATGTAACCGAGAGACAATTGATACGAGGGCTTCAGCAGCAGCTGTTGTTTTATCAACAGGAGGCTTTAGGGAACACACAGACACACGGTGACGTACACATGGATATTGAACATGCTGTGGCTCTTTTTTTCTCAAACTGAGATCTCCTGTTTCAGCCAGTCTATGTTTATGTAAGTGTTGAGATAAAATGGTCAAGTAAAGAGCAAAAACTAAAATAAGCATTTGGATAAGAGAGTATGAAAGAGTGTAACCCTCCACTGTTTGTCTGTAAGTGTCTCGTTAATGGAGACAGAGATTTATCTCAGGTCAGAGAGTCTCTGCAGTGCTCAGGAGGTGCCACGGTTTAATTTAGCCTGAAACCTGACCCCGGCCTCCTCTGTCAGCTCCTTCTCTGGGCCCAGAGCCACCAGGAGCAGCAGGCTGGGGTCTGTGGGGTCTGCATGGTGTGTGTGAAATGAATGATTTTTCTGCAATAACCCACACTATAGCTACACAAAGTGAGACCATGACGGTCAGAATCAGTGTTCCGGTGCAGAGCAAGTTATGCATGTGTTGGCAATAAAAGAGTACCCAGTGTCAGGATCTGTTGCATAATGCACAGTTAAAATGTTGGTTCACACACTAATGATCAGAAAGTTCACATAACAGGGACGTTCTAGGTGTGCACGTGTGTTTAAGTGCACCTGAATATACATTTGTTCGTCATCTGTGTCAATGGCTCCCATAAGGATTCCTAGGACAGTTTGAGGGTGTAAGCGACAGGTACCAGTGACAAAAGGTCGCAGTTTTACATCTGATTTTCATTTTGCACTGATTCAAAACTAGTTGGTTAGGTTGAGTTAAGAAAACAATGTGGTCAAGTTAAGGAAAAGATCACGGTTAGGCTTACCATAATTATGTTTTTTAAGATAACTGCAAATGTGAAGGAAATTAGGTATGTTAAATAACTTGAATTCGACACATATGTAAGTTATGCGTAAGTTGTGTATACGTCACGGAGGTTAGGTATTATACGTTTTGTGCGTAATGTATGGCATGTTCAGAACATTGCGTACACAGAAGACCTTAAACACTAAGAGAGCGGGTATTTTTTGTAGTCAAGAGTTAATGAGGTTTCTCTCAAGTTAAAACATCAGATATATAAAGAAAGATATGCATGCTTTTTTTCAGCATATGCATAAGCTGTATTGCTGCACCGCTATGAGGAAATGGTTGAACAAAGGTTTTGAATATAAGGCAGCTACTGTATGTCTTGATTCAGATTGAATGAGAAAGGAGACGGTTCTATTCTTTTTTTCTGGAACAAAAAGGTAATTTAGAACAAACACAGTGATTCATATCAGCCTTATTACTTAGCTGCTACAGAATAAACAACTGTAAAGCTGTAATTGTTCGTACTGTTAATTCACTGTTAACCATGAAGTCTACAATCACTCACCATATACAGTTTATTTCACACAGCACGTTAGTTGACATGTGCTTTTCTGTGATTCCTAGAGTTTTGCTTACTACGGATAACACGCAAAAAGAAAAGCCAGATCAGCATCTCATATCATCTCTAATTTAGCCTTCTTCTGTTTCTCAGTTCATGTATTTGGATCTTCTATTGTTCAGAGCAGCCAATCGGAAATGACCTACTCCAACCCGTTCTGGCAGGTTGAGTGAGTGTAAATCATTTTTTGGTTTGTTTGCTCAGCATTTGCTCGTTTCTCTCTTTTTTTGTTATAATTTAAAATCCTTTTGGGTTGCCGAACCGATTTGAAGCACAAATATAACTCTGTAACGTGTAGCCTGAACAATCCAATACAATCGTCCTATGAAGCAGGCAATTGTGAACGGCAGACTCATACACAGGTTTCTAATACACTGTGATACAATCTGGAATTAGATGGTAGGAGAGTCTAACATGTCTACTTGTGTCTTTGTAGAGACTAAAACACCATCTATCACTGCCTCCTGGAACGCCTGAAACATGGCTCAGTAAGTTACACACACACACACACACACACACACACACACACACACACACACACACACACACACACACACCACACACACACACACACACACACACACACACACACACACACACACACACACATACACATACACATACACACACACACACACACACACACACACACACACACACACACACACACACACACACACAAAACTCCCAAGTGAATGCACAGGAAAACCATAAAAATGTGATCATTGTGTAATCATTGATAATGTGTCCCATGACTTTAGCCTCCAGAGTGTGCAGAAGAAGACCAGCACCATGTCCCTGACCATCTCCTCTTCCTCCTCTTCCTCCGCCTCTCGGGAGCTCTCCTCCAGCTCCTCCTCCTCCGTGCTCGCTCAGAAACGCTCCGGCCTGGTGCAGCCGCTGCTTGTCAGCCCTCCAACCGTAAATCTCCTCATATTATGGACATGACAAAGTTTAGATTTAGCCTGTAGATGTGACAGTCACTGTACATAAGAGTGAATTATTATTAATAATAACATAATTCAATATATGTATCATTTTTGTATTCCCAGAGTCAGAGTCCCATCTTGAATCAACAGTACTCAGGGACCGGAGTGGCCCCTACTTTTGTTAAGGTAAGACACACATACGGTATCCTAATTATTTGTTGTCTCTTGTGTCTTTCTAGTCATTGTATGTGTCTTTGAAGTCTTTTTGTAATTGTTTCATGTTTCTTGGTAGTCATTTTGTGTGTCCTTGTAGTTGTTTGTTTTATTCAATTGTTTTGTTCTTTTGTAGTTGCGTTTTTTTTACCACCTATTGTAGTCACTCTTTCTCTATCCGTGATTACTTCCCAAATCATCAGCTAAGCGTACTTCAAGTATCGAAAGTAAAAGTACTTGTTATACCGAATGGATTTTTTCACAGTAATATATTATGTTGAGTTTTTTTGTATACATGTTTTTTAGTGATGTATGTTGTCACTGTGGATGAAATGTAGATGTTTGTATGTCTCTTTGTAGTTGTTTGTGTTTCTTTCTGTTCATTTGGTGTCTCTTTGTACCCGTTTTACATCACCTTTAAGTTGTTGTTTGTCTCTTTTTGTCTCTTTTTGTGTCCCTTTGTAGTCGTTTATGTGTATTTGTTTTTTGAGTCTCCTCCTGGTTGATCTATGTGTCTCTTTTAGGTGAAATGTTGTATGTTCATGCAATGGGTGGTCTGACACACTTGGTAAACTGTATGTCTTAAATAAAAGATTACTGATTTCATCTTCAAAGACCTTCTCTTATTGGTCTTCTTTCCATTTCTCCTCCTCTGCCTCCACCCCCCTTCACTCTGCAGGGCCTCCATGATGTGTCCACAGTGAACGGGCAGCTGGTGGTCCTGGAGTGCAGACTGAGGGGAACCCCCCCCCTGCAGGTCATGTGGTACAGAGAGGACGAGCAAGTACTGGACTCTGATGATTTCAGGATACTACGCAAGAGTGAGTGTGTGTTTGGCAGTGGGATGGAGTCTTATGACCTGGAGACACATTGGACTTTACACTTACCAAATCAAAACAATCAAGCAAAAAGATACACTTTTTGTTAAATGGATACATGAATATCCTATTAAAAACATGTAATATTGCTTTAATTTGGCCAGAAAGTTACAGATTCTTATCTTCACGGTCAACTTGTATATTTTGTACTTTTTTAGTTCTATTTTATTTTCTATTTATTTGTATACTGTTTATATTGTATAATTGTTTATATTACATTTAAACATATTATTATTATTATTATTATTGTTATTATTATTATACTACTCTTTTTAATTTCAAATGATGTGCAATACTTTGTTTTACATGCTACTGCTGCTGCAATGAAAACATTTCCCAATTTGGGATCAATAAAGTATATCTTATCTTATCTTATGGGGTAGTGGTGCACTTCCCCCTCTTGTGGCTCAAATAGTTATTACAACAACAATCACCTATCAAAAATATAATGGATAACAAGAGTTGTATTTTCTTACTCTCCTCTCAGGGCCTTTGTAATTGCTCAAGTCTGATTTCAGCGGAGTAGGTTTTGCATTCGAATGACTGGTACTGAGTCTGATTTGCAGAAGTGTCCTATTTCTCTTGAATGTAAATATGGTCTGAGCTGACTAAAAAACAATTGACTTTTCTTTCTCCTTGTTTTCCCAGAGGCCAGCTCTGCATCAGTGCCAGGTAAGTACAGAATATACAAAAAATACTTTTACAAAACATATATTATTTATTCTTACCTTGCTATAATTTCTTTCAACTAAAGTTGTTTTTGTAATACTTTCACCTTTCCGGTACCCCAATAATCTTTTGAATAACACCCCCTTGATGAAACCGGCTTATTTTGATGAAAGGCTTTAACTCTGTCCAGGAAACCAGGTCAAATACATTTAACATTTTGAGAAATGTGATATTATATTGTATTTTGTAATTTGCTTTTTTTTAATTATCGTTTTATTTCGTTTTTTTAACTTTTTTATAACATCATAAGGTTACAGAAGTGAGTGTCTTTTACAGGTTGACTGGGTGATTTACAGTGACAATAACAGCTACCCGAACAATGCTTAAAGGAATGAGATGTTATCTATATACAATGTTCATAAACAAAGTGCAGTTTTAATCCTGTCTGGAAACGAAAGTTAAAGACTTTATTGAATGAAAACATGTGTACTGTTGTTCCCCTCCACAGAGGAGCTGTGCACACTGGTGATCACAGAGGCCTTTCCAGAAGACTCGGGCATTTTCAAATGTGTCGTCATCAACCCCTTCGGCACGGTCTCCTGCTCTGCCATCTTAGAAGTTTACAATGGTTAGAAAGTCACTTCATATAGCACCATACATCTTCTATTACAGTTTCACCAGTTGATCTGTGTTAAACAAATACAAATGAATAGTCTTGCTTTTAAGGTCAGCCATCTCTTGCTTTGCAGACCTGGAGGAGCAGCTGGAGGTGGAGGCAGCCAGTCAGCAGGTAGCAGCTTCTCTCCGACAGGAGCAGGAAGCCATGTTCCATCAGGAGACTTTCAGCGACGACTTTCCATCAGAGCTGCCTGACTCCATGACCCTCCCCCCGCCTGAGTGGCCTGAGAGCCCGCTAGAAGATAACAGCCCAGTTGCAGAGTGAGTGGATGGTACACACACACACACACACACACACACACACACACACACACACACACACACACACACACACACACACACACACACACACACACACACACACACACACACACACACACACACACACACACACACACACACACACACACACACACTTACGTCAATATCAGTAAGTCAGCATTGGTAAACATTATATAACAATGACCTCAGTGTCATGCAAACATAATTTCTTTTTGTATGGCATTATGCTTCTTAGTGACCATGTTACTGGAGTGTATCAGGGTCGGACATCTGGGGGGGGGAATGTATTAATATATGTTTACATTAATGAACAAATGTAGTGCAGGGAATAGCAATCAAGCTTTCAGAATGAGAATGAGAATACATTCAAAATCGTATCTTGTTGAAATCTTAAGATTTTTTTTCAATAATTCAAATCACTAACAGTAAGTAAGTAAAGTCGAAAAGTCTTTTCGATTTCACAATTTACATTTTGAAAAAAAAATGTTTACCTTATGCCTTGCCCTAAAACTCCTCTGTCTATTATTGACATGCGTTACATTTAATTGAGTAGCAAAAGGTCTTAGCAAGTTGCTATTAATCAATAAATATTAAATAAAATAAAGGACACATTTTTGTGACTTTTAGTGACTTTTTGACATATAGTGGGTCATTCACTCATTTCAGTCTTTGTAAAGAGTTGTAGTTCCTACTTACATCCAGACGAGGCCGCTCTTGTATCAATACAAAATGTCACTAAGGTACCATGTTCAAGTTCAATTTCTTCTTTTCTTTTGTGTTTCTTTCTTTCTTTCTTTGTTCCTTTTTTTGTCTTTCTTTCCTTATTTAGACTTACTTAATAGTAGCATTCCAAGTGAGGATTAAACAAAAAACATATGAGTTACTTTTAACTGTGAACAAAAAATGCAGCTTTTGAGAAGGGCTTTTTAACACTAATTGAAGAACACAAATACATAATAATAATCAAAGAAAATAACATATATTTTAGAGAAAGGTGCCAGCCAGTCAGAGAGGGGTTCTGGGGTTAATTAAGTGCAGTTGTGATGACGTTGCTCTGCTTTTGGGAAATTGAGCCAATCAGCTGCACCCTCGCGGCCCCGTCGCGCACACCCCTGGTGAGCGCGCAGTGTCACTTGTTGGGTCCAGCCTCCTGCAGGACGGAGTTTGGGTTCCCCTCAGCAGGGAAAGTCCAATTCTTCTTAGCCAGTTATGAACTTTAAGGAAAGTGGTGCAGAAACCTTAAACTAGGTAAGAAAATATCCTCTTCGTCTTTGAACAGAGTGTTACCGGCTGCTTTTTAACCTGCCGTCCGGAAATGTTGCTATTTGTTGTGGCATTTGTAACCTCTGTAAAGTATGTCTACATTGACGCTAACTCTTTAAACATGCTCGTTTCCCCTACTTGTTTATATCATGGAAACGTAACGCTATGTCGTCCTGAAAAGGTCGCACTATGTTTAGAGAGCACTTGGAAAGAGGACTTTACTCTATTTTGGGGCTTTGTGTCATCTGGCTCGCTGCTCGTTCGCACATGCTTGGAGGAAAACCTGTCAGCAAGCAGATACCTAACCGAAGTTAAACGCCCAGTAAAAAGTATTTTAAAAATACATAATAATATATTTAAATATGTCGTAAAAATGCAGCTATGTGTGAAAGAACACTCGACGCCTGTTGTAACCATGATGCAGGTAAACTTAAGGAGATATCTTAAACATAAACACATCACTAAACCAGTGGAGAAAGAAGTATTCAGGTTTCAGACTTAAGACAACACAATTATTCAAATGGTATTACAAATAAAAGTCCTGCATTCAAAACCTTACCTACATTAGAGTACGTGCATCAAAGTATATTAAGGTACCAAAAGTACTAATTTAGCCTAATGGGCAATTTCAGAAAATCATATTTTAAATGACTGGATTATGCTGCATTAATGTGTCTATATCATTTTATTTTATTTTGCATAATGCTGCTGGATTTTTTTAACCTATAATGATATGTCAATGTTTATTCATTTGCATTTATTTGATTTATTTGTTGTACTACAGTAGCTAATATTCTGAATATCAAAATAAAAATAGTATAATTAACGTAGTGGAGAAAAAAGAATAATACTGACTTCCAAACTGCAGTTGCTTAGAAGAATAGAGTATCTTAAGTAAAATACTTGAGTAAATGCACTCTTATTACATTTTAAAGTGATATGATATCAATGCTCACTTTCCTGGGAGTCCTTCTGCTTTAGGGATACACTTAGGGAAGCACCAGACCTTCTTTATTGTGCTGGTGACATGCATACTTCAGCCAAGTGGTCCCTTACTTTGGGCCATGAGCTCATCTGTAAAGTGGCGATATGGGTTGTGTGTCCTTCAGACTCAACATTACATTACATTACATTGCATTTAGCTGACGCTTTTATCCAAAGCGACTTACAATAAGTGCGTTCGTCCAACAAAATACAACTTGAAGAAAACAGAATCATATAAGTACATCAGGTTTCATAGAGCAAAAACAACCCTTTACTACTAAGCTAACAAAAGAGCTCATATTGTACACAACCCACGTGGAGCCTTGTGTGGATGCCCACACAAGGCTCCTGGACCTGATGGCATCCCTGGCCGTGTTCTCAGGGTGTGTGCAGTTCAGCTGGCAGAGGTGTTCACAGACATCTTCAACATGTCCCTGCTGCAGTCTGTAGTCCCCACATGCTTCAAACACTCCACCATCGTTCCTGTCCCCAAAAAACAATAATCACCAGCCTCAATGACTACCGCCCAGTAGCACTCACCTCCATCATAGTGAAGTGCTTTGAGCGGTTAGTCAAAACCTTCATCACCTCCTCCCTCCCTGACTCTCTGGACCCCCTGCAGTTTGCCTACAGAGCAAACAGGTCCACAGACGACGCCATAGCCCTCACCATCCACACTGCCCTCTCACACCTGGACCAGAGGAACACATATGTGAGAATGCTGTTCATTGATTACAGTTCAGCCTTCAATACCATTGTGCCCTCCAAGCTGGTCATCAAGCTCAGAGACCTCGGGCTCAACAGCGCCCTCTGTGACTGGAACCTGAACTTCCTGACGGGCAGACCCCAGGCAGTGCGGGTGGGAAACATCACATCCTCCACCCTGATCCTCAACACCGGAGCCCCTCAAGGCTGCGTGCTCAGCCCTCTCCTCTACTCCCTGTTCACTCACGACTGCGTGGCCAGCTCCAACACCATCGTGAAGTTTGCTGACGACATGACCGTCATCAGCCAGATCACAGACGGCGTACAGAGAGGAGGTCGAAAACCTGACATCTTGGTGCCAGGATAACAACCTCCATCTCAACGTCAGCAAAACAAAGGAGCTGATTGTGGATTACAGGAAGCAGCAGAGAGAGGGACACGCCCCTATTGCCATTAATGGGACAATGGTGGAGAGACTCAGCAGCTTCAGGTTCCTCTGTGTCCACATCACTGAGGACCTGACATGGACTCTTCACACCACCACCATCACCATCACCAAGAAAGCTCGACAGCAGCTCTTCTTCCTCCGTAGGCTGAGGAGGTTCAACATGGACTCCAGGATACTCTGCAACTTCTACAGGTGCACCATAGAGAGTATCCTGACTGGCTGCATCACGGCCTGGTACGGCAGCTGCACCGCCCTTAATCGTAAGGCTTTACAGAGGGTGGGGAAAACTGCACAGAACATCACCAGGACGGAGCTGCCATCCATGGAGGACCTTTACTCCCAGCGGCTCAGGAAGAAAGCCCTCAGGATTATAAAAGACCCCCATCACCCCCTGCCACAAACTGTTCTGTCTGCTGCCGTCTGGCAGGCGCTACCGCAGCATCCGGACTAAGACCACCAGATTCAGAGACAGTTTCATCCCGCAGGCAATAAGACTGCTAAACAACTGAACTGCTGAAACAACATCTGTTAAACACCTGAACTGTTGAAACAACATCCATAACATTCATCTGCTACTTAGTAATTATTTATCTATTTCTCTAATATATCATTCCAATAACTTGCATTATCGACTCTTATTGCACTTTTTCACTTTTTTAAAACTATTTTTCTTTTTGTATTTACTTTTTAATATTTACTTGCACTATATTTGACTGTTTTTCTGTGTTATTGTGTTGCACTGTTGGAGAAGCCTGTGACCTAAGATTTTCATCGACATAACTACCCTGTAGCTATGTTCGTATGACAAATAAAGAACCTTGAACCTTGAACCCAAATGAATATTTTTAAATAGTTCTTTATGTGTGAGGGAAAAAATACAAAGTATAGAGTGTTGCTAAATTTGACCTAAACACAAAATGAATTATCAGTTTTGCAGTTTTGTCCCTCGTCTCAAGGTCAAACGGTTTCTTGAATTCGTTTTTGGGTAGATGACTGAAATAAGTTCTGTGGCTAAGACAAGCTTAAGATATTTTCATGTTTTGTTCTATAAATTAAAATACATCGGTAAGTATCCCACTGGTGAATGTACACAGCTTTTACACATCTTAAAAACAGCGTTTGCTAACAAGTGACTAAATTAGACTACTAAACATCATCAAGCTGATCATTTGTTGCCTTTAGCTTAGCGGTGTTGACGTGAAGTCATGTGACCGTGATGTAGTTTGTTTATAACTTGACGCTAGCTTTTTACTTCTGGCAATTGCATTTATGCTTAAACATAAAACGGGTATTTCTGTGGGAAGATTATCCTGCTGAACAAAACATGTAAGTATCATAAACGTCATTTTGCCACAGAGCTTATTTCTGCAACATTTTAGACTCCAAGGGAGAATCCCATTGGCTGGTTGTCGAGGGAGCCCTTGCTAACTTCCAGGTTGGCCTACAGAAATGCATCATTAATGCACCACTCTACAATGCATTCAAGTTCAGTCATATCATTAGATACTTGTGAATAAAATGCTGTTTTGGAATTTTTGATATTGCACCACAAATATCAACCTGTGTGAAATAATTCAAAAGTATGAAATAGGGTGTTTGATTGCACTCAGTAAGTGCGTCTTTAATGTTGACTTGATGCGTCAGTTCATATTTGAAACCAGCGAGTGTTCATAGTGTGTGAAGTATGTTTGGCTTAGTGTAATGTGTCCTCTCTGTATTAGTGTTTAGGGCTATGATCTCATCTGTAATGTGAGGTGCAGCCAATGGCGCCTTGTGTCCTTCAGAACCCCCCTTCCCCTCAGTGGTGCTGCACAACAACAGTTGTTCATTGGCAGGATTCTGGCCTTTAAGGTCACGTTGAGGTTATCCAACTTGAAGTGTATGTCATTGTTTAGTTGACTTGATTACTCGGTGAGGACAATGAATTGGATTGCCTGTTGGTTTGGCCTTTTAAACTATAGAAACAATAAGGAATCTCAGATCAATGATAAAAAGACGTAGTAGTTATGGTAAGGTAAATATTTATTTTAACGTTAATAAAAAGGTTTTTTGTACGGTTTGTTTTATCCCTCATCACCAAATTGAAATAATGTATTTCAGTACAGTGTTGAAGTGTTTTCAGAATCCAGCAGATTTCATTTTCGAAAGTTTATTAGATTATGTCTAGCATTCATATTGTCTTCCCTGTTGTTGCTGGTCAAACAGAGGATTTAGGACAGCTTAGCATTCTCCTACCCACAATGCCATGCTGATCTTTAGTGTGTGTGTGTGTGTGTGTGTGTGTGTGTGTGTGTGTGTGTGTGTGTGTGTGTGTGTGTGTGTGTGTGTGTGTGTGTGTGTGTGTGTGTGTGTGTGTGTCTGTGTGTGTGTGTGTGTGTGTGTGTGTGTGTGTGTGTGTGTGTTTTTATAAAAGGGTTGACTCCCCAGTAGTGTCTGCACCTGCCAGCTGATGTCTGAATTCCAAGACCGATATAGAGTTCCCCAGTTAATCACACAAATATGCATACTGTATACCAACACAGTATTACATCTGTCTCTCTCTCTCACACACACACACACACACACACACACACACACACACACACACACACACACACACACACACACAAATGACTTTCACGTAGTAGCATTTAAGTCATAGAAAGTGCAACCCATAATAAGTTACACACAATGACTAACACTTTAGTTTTTTTAGCCTGGACTCCAGATTAGATAGAAGGATTTTTGTAACAGTTTGTTAGGGATGAGAAGGTCATGAAGAGTCTTCAAAGCAATGACTGGTGTATGTAATAACATCAATCATTGCTGGATTACATCCAGGTGGCACTTCAAGGCACCTGAGTCACCTTAAATGCAACAGAGCCATCGTTAATGTCATGAGCAACAGCTGTGCTCTTTCTGCAGTGCCGTAAAAAAAGATCTGATTCAGAGTGCTAACAATACATCCATATGGGCATAGATGACTGCCGATCAGTACAACTCATTCAGTATAGAAATAGCAAAAATATGTTTCACATAATGTAGAGCAGTTGCTATTTCCTAAGGGCTCAGGCAGATCTCATATTTGTAGCATTTTTAATAACAACATTTAAAATGTTCTTATTATGTTTTATGTTAAATAAAAATGCAATATCGGTTAAAATAAAGTCTCCATATAGATTGCATCCTCTGAGGATAATGGTACACACAACAAAATATATAGGTGTTATGTTTATATGGTGTAGCAGCAGAATGGTTGAAATGGTTCTTTACACTTATAATAAAAATAGTATACAGTATATAGTGTATATATATATATATATATATATATATATATATATTGTTGCCAGAGGACCAAACGCTGCCTTAGTCTCAACACTTACGCTAATGTCTTTTCAAAATAAATGAAAAGAAAACATTTTCAAAACGTAAATGAAGCTATAAATCTGAAAGTAAATTCTCATGCCTTTTTAAATAAAGGTTTAGCTTAACGGGAACCTACTTGCGAGTCTTCCTCCTCCTTCATTTCACTTGCCCTCGCCATGGTCTGACTGACTGGGATCTCAGAATGAGTTTGTTGTTCAAGGAATCGGAATCTTATCATAATCAATATATTGACAAGTGCAATATTCAAATTGCAGAAAACCTAACATTTGTTAAATGCTCACAAGGCCTACAAATCGTATTCTACACACTCAACCAAACGTTTTGGCACAGATTCATTATAAAATCACACCATAAACATGATACATGTTTCAATGATAACGACATTACTGATGCAAACATCATCAACATTGTCACATTTTCATTCCAAATCGTGCATCCCTAGTACTAACTTCAATACATGTTGCTGAGAGGTGCATCTTAACGTTTTCAAGTTTGTGATCTTTCAACATTACATGAATCAATGTACTTATCGTGTTTGGACAAAATGCTAGTCTCACTGGAGTAATGGTTCTGTTAGCCCTATCAAAGGAGCTTTTAGATTACCATTAGGCTCTTTGTAAGTGAGATATGTCAACAGTTGGCCACTTAAACACTCAACATTATGCTCATCACTTGCTTATTGAAGCTAAATGATTGCTGCTTGTAGTCCAACACGTTTTAATGACTTCCATCTACACACATGTTCTGTCATTGAGAAACCTCCCACTCCCAGGATGTCCATCAGTGTGTATTTAGACTGTGGGTCAGCTGATCCGGCTAGCCTAAACTAGTTAGTGCCAGAAAAACACTGAGCAAGTGTGTGTGAATGGATGAGTGTGTGAGAGGCAGCGATGAGAGAGACTGCTATTGTCATTATGCTCCTGCGTAGCCAGGACGACGTGGTAGTCATGGGAACAGCATTCTTTCCTGGAAGAAAAGTGGAGAAGCAGGCAGGCTCGCTATAACAGGAAGAAAAGTCCTGTGTGTGCTGAAATGAGAGCAGACACATGATATCTGTTTCTCTCATTACACCGTCCCAGTAGTACCATGGCAGCCGTACTGTAAATACAGGAGAGACTTTTTGTCCTGTTAGCTTCAGCAGCCTCCGTCAACTTTCTATAAAACAAGTGAACAGGAACTACTGTTTAGTTCATACTGAAACCATGTAGCTTGGATCTATTTATCAGAAGACCAAGGCAACTTATCATCTAGTTGTCCTCCATGCAATTGGATTGTTACTCTTTATTTAAGGAACGACTGCTGTTTGACTTTCACATTTGGTCTCGGTTTATTTGTTATGGATCAAATCCCCTTGAGATTTAGGAACACTGTTGCAAAATGAGTGATGGCCCGGAATATATACATTTTAAGACCCTTACATCTTAAAGAATAGTTATTCTCCATGCGTTTGGAATTGTGCTCCTCATATGGAACTGCTGCTGTTTTATTTCATATTTTTGGTCTCAGTTTGGTGTTTTTAGAAGTGCCTAAATAGAGTCAAACTTCCAAAGATGGCTTAAATAACGCATTTATGGAAGTGTCTTTTAATAATAATAAAATGTCATAACATATTGTTCATGTGCATCTCAGGGTCGACTCTTGGTTGATCTGACACTAAGTTTCAACATGAATGTGGTACAAATAAAATCTTTTTGATCTTTTATGAACTCTGTCGGGACATTATTTCTGTATTTCTTCTAGGGTTGCAACTATGCTTTGTGGATTTTTTTCATGACAATAAACATATATATATCTATTGGAAATAATAGGAATAAGATCAATTTAATTGAGTTGAGCTTTACTCAACAACACTGACGTATTTAAAGTGTATTGAATATCATTTCACAACACCAACAATCCATATAAAGACTTTTCTTTACAAATTGGATATAACATTTAATTGACAAACATTATCCTTTCCATCCTAATGTACCTTCAGGTGTTATTATGAATATAATCACATCTTCACCTACATGTCTTTTTCTGTCTGTCAGTTTTCCAGAGCCTCAGCCGGCGTACTACTGCTCTGAGGAACCGTTTGGTCGCAGTGAGGAGGAGAGAGCCCTGAGCTCAGAGGGCCAAAGGTCACCAGGGGTCACCGTCCGCACCTGTACGCCCAGCCCTCCCCCCCCCACCCTCACCACCAGCCCACGTCAACGAGAAAGCTACACCAAAGCTGTTCAGCCCGAGCAGGCTCACTTTTACTGTAAGGGCATTTCTTACACTCATGTTCTGATCTCTCTGTTGGGTGGTGCAGTGATGACGCCATTTTGTAGGTCAACCCAGAGAATATCATAGCAAGAAGTCCCTCAACAAAAATCTGTTTTTTCTTTGGATTTTGGAAGATTGCAATCTCTGTGGCAAACACATGTTTATGATACTTACCTGTATTGTTCAGCAGGATAATCTCCACATATCAACATGTCTTTTATGATATTTGAAGCGTAAGTAAAAATGACTCCACACCAACAATGTGAAGCTAAGTCACCTAATGTTTGCCGTGATGACGTTAAGTATTAAGATTAGGGCCGGGACTCGATTAAAAAAATTAATCTAATTAATTAGAGGCTTTGTAATTAATTAATCGAAATTAATCACATTTTTAATCGCATATACATATTTGACCTAAGAACAGTGAGAAGCAATTTTTTTTCACATGGATTTTAGTATACCATTAGGCGCATTCACACCGCAGTACTTTTCCCACAAAGGTTCATGAGAATTTAGTTCATGAGAACTCTTTGAACCTGGGGGAGGATTAGGCAAATGAAGCCGCTGACGTCACTTCTTCTTCTTCTGCTTTGGGTTTACTGGCAGGCCGCAAACCACTTCACGGCGTATACTGCCGCCCAAAGTCCCCGGCCGGAAGTCCCCGGAGTTGGGGACCGGCTTCAGTAGAAGCTGCTGGGAGTCCCAGCAGCCTTCCGAGTAAATCGCCAGAACCCCGACACCTCCTCATCTCCACCGCTCCCATGTTTTATTTTGTTTTGCCATAAGTTAGTCTCTCTGCGTTTCTGCGCTGGGCTAATGCTAATAATGCTAATGCGAGGATAATAAAATGGCGGCTTCACAAAACTTTTTGGGAGTTTTACGGGGCGTGGTTTGCAATCCGCCCAGCCAATCAGAAATATAGCTATTTTCTCACAAGAGAGCCGTACGAAAGTCCCTGCTCTCTAGCAGCTCTCTGCTCTCTAGCAGGGACTTTCGTGGGGGTAAAAAGGTTCTCATTAACTAATTTTAGTACCAGCTCTTTTTGGTGTGAACGCGATAAAAGAGGCTAACGTCCACGCTAGCTTCCACGCTTGCGAATTCCTTTTTGCATAATTTGCACACAACCGTGCTCTTATCAACGCTTCCATCCGTCCGTTTTTTAAAACAACATTTCCCACTGTTGTTCACTGTGGTTTGTTGTCTGAAGTCATGAACGTTAGTTGGTGCTCCAGTATAATCGGTACGCCTGAAACTCATCCAGTGAGAAACGTTCCACGGTGCAAAAATAAGTGCGATTAAAATGCGTTAATTTTTTTAACGCGTTAATTTTTGTGTAATTAATTAATCTTAATTAACGCGTTAAAGTCCCGGCCCTAATTAAGATGTTCACCATTTGCGTATCTACTGACGTATTTTATGTGGTAAACTAAACGTAAAACCAAATTTAAACAAAAAAACGTAAAATAATCCATTGACTTTCAGAAGAGGCAACTGGAAGGTGTAAAATGCAAACTCATGTCCGGGTTTTAAGACTCATTCCTGCACCACTTTATAGCTCTCTGTTAATGCTTTACTACTCTCTTGTGTTACTTAAAACTTCATGTTTAAACGTGAATCGCAAAGGAAAATGTATTCAGGTTTTGAAACGTGTGTATCTTCTCCCTCCCAGTCTTCCCAGCCTGGAGGAAACAGCACGAACATGTCAGACCTGCCGTCCTTCACTCCCAGCGTCTTCCCTCCCAGCGCCTTCAACTACGAGCGGCCGAGGCATTTCATCCAATCACAGGCGGCCTTTCAAGCCCCCAGCTACGAGAGCGTTCTGAAAGAGGCCCATGAGAACCAAAACAACTCTCAACAGAACCTCATCAGCTCCCAACATGTTACAGAGACACAGAGCCAAGCCAAAGTGATGTCTGCCCAAAGTCAGTCTTTCTCTCAAACTCAGTCGGTGTCCAAGTCCATGTCGCAGACGCAGGCACAGTTTCAGTCACTGAGCCTCAGTCAGAACCAAGCCCAGTCTGTGGCGCAGACCCAGGCCCAAACCCAGGTTCATACCCATGCCCAGGCTCAGTTACAATCCAAAACCGAGGCCCATACCCAGGCTGTGATGCAAACCCACACCCAGGCCCAGGCCCAGGTTCATACCCAGGCCCAGGTTCATAGCCATGCCCAGGCTCAGTTACAAACCCAAACCGAGGCCCATTCCCATTCCCAGGCCCTGATGCAAACACAAACCCACACCCAGGCCCAGGCCCAGGTTCACACTCAGGTTCATTCTCAGTCCCAGGCTCAGGCCCAGGTCCAGATCCAGTCCCAGGCCAATGGCACCAGCAAGTCCTCTCCATCCTCTTCAAGTCTCAGCTCTCCTATCTCCACCCCCACCTCCTCTGCTGCTCCTCCTCATTCCTTCACAGCCCCCATGCTCAGTCCGTCTGCTGCCCCCGCCTCCTCCTCTGCTCCTTTCCCACCCCCGCCATCCTCCCCTTTCCCCGCCTCCTCCGCCCCTTTCCCCCCCCCACCATCCTCCCCTTTCCCTCCCTCTCTCCCCCGCACCACCATGCGTTCCACCATCACGCTCACCCCCAGCATCCCCAGTGCCACGGGCCTGGGCAGCGCCACCCTGCCCGCCAACCAGGACTCCATGTCAGCCCCGGCGGCGTTCCTCTGCTCCGTGCTGCCCTCCCCCTCTGCCTTCTCCCCTTTCTCCTCCTCCAAGCTGTCCCCCAACTCCAGCCTCTCCCACCCCTCCATCTCCCCCTCCCGCTCGCCACTCTCTCCCTTTCCATCTCCCCTCCCTCACCAGCATCTCCCAGTGTCACCTTCCGTCCCTCGCTCCCCTCTCTCTCCCTCCTCCCCCTCATCTTTCCCACAACCCAACACTCCCAACGGTCAGAGCAGAGTCCCCCCTGCTGTGGTCTCCCTGCCCGCCAGCTACAAGGCAGCACCAAGCATGTGAGTCCAAAGATAAAGTACATCATATATTTGACATGCAAATGTTAATAGACGATTGAAACGTTCCGACGCTTAAAATACATTGCTAGGAGGATAGAGCTGCACATTTCATCAAAATGCAGGCACAATGTTTGTCACAGGGGAACTATGTTTCAATCCAAATTCTTAAGGATTGTGGTGCAGCAGAGATGTCCCGGCTTACTAAACGTATTGGACAGACATAATAAAATGAATATTAACATAGAATATTTGATATACATAATTAGTTATATACGTTGATTTCTAATTGAAATACTACAAGGTTGAGAGTGAATTTTAATATGTGCAATTGTACAGGGTTATAGAGAGAACTCTGAAGCTGTGAGTTCTCTGCAGGCCAGTGCTGACGTGGTATTGCTGTTCAAAGGGAATCATTTGCTGTATCCATCCTTTTTTATTCCTTATCAAAACTAATATATGTAGCTATATTTAAAAGCATGGAGCAATCATTGCTATCTATATTTACTGCCTGCATGAAATAGCATCTTTTAGTAAAAACTGTCCAACCGAATGTTTGAGCATTCTTTCATAAGTGATGCACAGCAACAGGAGATATTCTGTCGTAGCTTGTCTTCTCTTCTTCATCACTGCTTAAATGTTGTTCCTCCCTCTTTTTGTCCCTATTGCTATCCCCCAGCCTTCCAAAGCCCATCCTGAAGAAGGCTGTGGCTCCGCGGCCCTCTTCCTCTCGCTCCACTGATGATGACATCCAGGGCTCCAAAGACGCCCTCATCCAGGATCTGGAGAAGAAGCTACGCTCCAAGGAGGCCAGGAGGAGAGGCAGCCAGGTGTGTGTGTGTTTCCTGCAAACTGAGTTAGAAGTGCAAGTTTTAAATAAACATTCCCCCCTCGACACAGACCACCCCAGCCCTTCACGCTTACACAGTGTGTGTGTGCTTGAAACATAAAATAACGTATACTTTCAATAGTTTACCAATAATACAAATGTAACAGAATAAAGCTTTATTTTCGAACAGAAACTGTCCTATGAGGAGCGTATGGCTCGGAGGCTGCTGGGTCCAGACAACGCCAACTACATGTTTGACCAAGACGGTCTCTCAGACTCACAACTCGACCAGGTACGACCACAAACTGTCAAGTAGTTAGTGAACACACCATGATATAACAGAATGATGTGTGTTGCACTGCTGCACACACATTCATGCTGGCTCTGGTCCAAAACCCATTAGTGTTCTCTTTGCTATTAAATAAAGAACACACATCATTACCGGCATTGTGGTTTCAATGGCTGCACAGTTCCCCTCTCAGGGCCTCCCGATGTATAAAAAGCCTGGCAGCATTATCTCTCTGTGTGTATGTGTGTGTGTGTGTGTTTGCGTGTGTGATTGTTCTGTCAAAAAGCTCTGTCGCTCACAGGGCTTTGCACCATCTATTCTCTCCCTTTGCACACAACACACTGCACATACACACATTTGTCAGCGGCTATTTCTTGCCTACTTTCTCCGAACGAGCCCATTTCACTGGTGACAACAGGGCTATTGTGTCAGAATACACACACACACACACACACACACACACACACACACACACACACACACACACACACACACACACACACACACACACACACACACACAGTTACCCTCCTGGCGTTTTGTCATACTAAAACACTTCTTTTTGTAAGTTACGAGCTGTGAATATTACCTTTGCTTGTATTGGTTTGTTTTATTTTACAGCCAGAAGCACCAGAAGGAAGACACACAGGAGGATTATGGTAAACAACATACATTTATGTATCAATGTTGAACCTGATGATTAACTCAGGAATCACCTGTGTTTTTCACCTTGAAAAGTGATTTCAATTCAACTTTGAAAGCTCTTGTATGTTATCATGTGAAATAAATCTTCTATTGGGCTGAGATAGGTACATTTTTTTTTTTTTTTAATTGAGCTTTTAAATTACTATCTTACTTCCCCAATATGTGTGACGAGCAATTGTTGCCCCAAGTTGCAACCAAAGCACTTTGTGTTGTGCCATAAATACTCTTAGTGTGCTATAACTCCACTGTCTTTCAGGAGAGAATGAACTCAACCTGTAGTCGTGATATAAAAGGACAGCAACATATATAGTGTTAATATGGTTTATTTGTAGAATGTTTTTATTGACGGACAGATACAATCATATAGTTTTACACTACGGTGTGTTTCCTTCCTTTTTCCATTGTGTCCCCTTCAGAACTCCCCCCACCCCTAGCTTGAAAAACCATAAAGATACAAGTTTTAACCCATAATGACATTGATTCCATATAGGAAAAGAAAACGAAATAAATGGGAAAACAAAATTGTGAAAATGTCATTAAGTAACAGTGCAACATAATGACTACAAACACTATAACAATACAAATACAGAGCCCCTAAAAGTTCTCAAAGTTAGAAAAAGCTCCCGGTTCTCAAGCCAAATAGAGGTACAATTCGGAGACAAGCTTATAAAGATCCCACCCACCTGTCTTCTGAAAACCCAAACAGTGTTATACAGGTGCTGTGCTTCAAATCCTTCACAACTATAACTTTTGATGAGGTTCAAAGACAAAAGTTCAGGAGTCCTTTAGTTTGGGACAAAAACAGGAAATATGAGCTAGGTTTCAATACGGTTTGTTGTGTGTGTGCTGTCACTCTCCAAATGGAGTCATTGAAAGTGAGGTTATGAATGAGTAATGTCTGTCTCCCTGCAGGGGGAGGCGCCACACAGGGACGGATGAGAGGGGGAATGAGGGCTCAGCTATCCAGGAGAAGTCGTACGCCCCTCGCTTCCTGCAGATCCCTCTAGACCTCACTGTGGAGGAGGGGCGCTTCTGTAGGATCGACTTCAAGGTGAATCCCCCTCACATCAAGGGCTTCACATTTACACGTGTATTAAAGGTCTCCTATTATACTATTTTTAGGCATATATTATAGGTCTCAGATTTATGAAAATATATTAAAAACATGTCTATGAAGTGTTTTTCTCAAAATACCAAACAAATCACCCATTGTAGCATGCCTCATACCCCTCTATTTCAGCCCTGTTACACATGTGCTGATTCTGGGTCTGTAGCTTTAAATGTTGCCGAGCTGCTGCTGGCCACGCCCCTTTGGCGCATGCATGAAAATTCGACACATTCTCAGCTAAACCCTACTGTGATTAAACGCCATATTATGTTCCAAATTATTTCTGAAACGGCATGGAGCTCAAATGCTTTCTCGCTCTTGCGGGTTTATCACAAGGTGAGTTACTTTTTTTATACTCTCTCCAGTATAGCATTAGCTCTGAGTGTTAGCGATGCTTGCTAATTTGAAAATAAAGACCTATTACTCCCAAAACACGTCGCGCATTGTTTCTGAAAGCGACGTCTCTGATAGGGCCGTGGGCGTAAAGCCAGCCCACATTTTAGTAATGTCGTCATGACTGCAGAAAATCTGGATCAGCTCCGTTGTACCCCCGTTTTTAGCGATGTGAGTAAGGAGGAAAAGAGAGAGGGTTGTATTTGCTGACACTTTGTGAGTCTCCTTACACACCGGGGGCACACATTTATGTAAAAAGGAATCAAAAAGCTCATTTTGCATGATAGTTGACCTTTTAATACACTTGTATTACAAGGACAGGGTCTCCCTAAATAATACGAGCATCTCTTAGTGGTTTGGTCATGTAGAGGGGTGTAAAAGGGGGATTCTGTCTTTCTCCCCCCAGGTGGGAGGCCTCCCTACTCCAGACGTGTGCTGGTACCTGGACGGTAAAGCCATTCGCCCGGACGACTACCACAAGATGTTGGTGTGTGAGAAAGGGATGCACTCCTTCATCATAGAGATCGTCACCGTGCACCACGCCGGGGTGTACGAGTGTGAGGCCAGGAACCGAGCGGGGGAGAGCAGATTCACCATGAGGCTCGACGTATTAGGTAATACATGCCATTACAGAACTCCTGAGTGTTAAGCCTGTAAACGCTGTCTTTTTAAATAGAGTGTCATCATGTGCTGTGCATCCTCCTCTCTGCAGCCCAGGAGGCTCTCCGCCCCCCCACCTTTGTCCAGAAGATGTTGAACTCCAGAGTTCTGGAGGGAGACACCGTGAGGTTAGAGTGCAAAGTGGATGCTTCCCCCCCTCCACAGCTCCACTGGAAGAAAGATAAAGACATGCTGCGGATCGACCCAAACAGAATGAGGTGGGTGTGATAAAGTGCTTCATTACACCCAAGCTCCTCTACATCCAACGTAATAGAGGATATTAAGAAGTACACCCTTAAAGGGGCCATATTTAGCTTTTGGGGGTTTTTCCTTTCCTGTAGTGTGTAAAGCGTCTGCAAAGGCTAAAATCCCTGTGTTCCCTCCAGAGGGAGTTTCTCTCCCACGCACTCCCCCCCTTGCCTCAAACACCTCTATTGGACTGCGTTATTTACTTCTGTAACATAGTGACATCACTATGTAACACTCGCACTTCTAGTGGCCAGCGCGCCAACACATTGTACGTGCTGGGCTTATTTAAATGAAATGCACAATGAGGTTCTATATTGTCAGAATAAAGAGGTGTATCACCGGGTGAAGGTCTGATTCTTAATGACAGGTTACAACTATATCTGTCATAGAAGGTTGCACCAATACACCGTTTATTCAGCGATGAATTCTGACTGCACACACATAATTATAATTGTGTCTTTTGAATGCTCAGCCTGCAACAGGGTGCTTTGGCCATCATGTGTTGATAACAGAGTTGAAATATACATCTGATTGGCTGTCTTTGTTCCTCCAGTCTGTATGAGGACGGGTCGGGCCGGCAGTGCTTGTTGATAGAGAGGCTGATGAAGTCTGACGCCGGCTGGTACACCCTCTCTGCCATCAACGAAGCCGGCATGTCCACATGCAACGCCAGGCTGGACGTCGGCAGTAAGTCCTCCCTGTGTTCCTCTTTCTGTGCAAACTTGCTCCTAAAGGCCCATCTCAGCTGTCTGTTGTAGGAGATAGCCCGTGCGTTACCATAGTAGTCAGGGCTGTAAAACCAAACAGCAGATGGTGGATGTTGTGCGCTCTATGCTACACTGAATCCTGCTGTGCTGCCTGCATCACGTCACACAAATGCTGTGTTATGTGATCCAGCTGTAACTCGATGAATGTTAAAAGCAATCGAGCTGTTAAGCTTTCCTCAATAATACTGCAGAGTGCATAAGAGAGAGAAAATTACAACACAGCTATTAGGTTTCTCCTCGATCACATAACACACCATCTGCTCTGTGGAGGAGCTGACAAAGGCTGTAAAGAAAACTACCTGACCCTCTTTTACACATGCGCTGGACTGTGTAGGGTGGTGCGGGAATGAGTCCTTAAAGTTGGAAATTAGTTAACATTTAACCACTTCCAGTTCCCTTGTCTCAAAGTCAACGGTTTTTTCCGAAATAAGGTTTGTGGTTTAAACAAGCTTACGAAATATGTTTTGTCCTACGACATAGAATTTGTCAGTAAATATCTCACTGGGGAATGTCTGAAGCTTCTGTGTGTCATGAAAAAGGGCGTTTCTAAAGATAGGTCTTCAAAACATCAACACGGCGAACATGAGCTGCCTTTAGCTTAGCAGTGGTGACGTGAAGTCATGTGACCCTCATGTAGTTTGTGTATTGCATCACATTAGCTATTTCCTTCTAGGGATTGAATTTAGGCTACAAAAATGTAAAAAGTCGTCTTAATATGTGGAGATTATCCTGCTGAAAGTTTGTTTACCACAGATTATGCAATATTTCAAAATCCACTGCTTTTTGTCGAGGGAGCCCATACAATGCTAACTACCGGGATGGCCTACAACAATGCATCATCCCTGCACCACACAGACTACTTGATCAGAACCAGGACTCAGACACTTTAGAGGAACAGGATTCATTGACAATGCAAGTCCTTAACGACCCGTGACACACGGTCTAATGTCGCACTTCAGCTTACATCTCTCTGTTGTTAAAACAGAACACAATAAAAATCATTACACTTCCAAAATATATAGAATGTTCCTCAAGCATTCGTAGAAGAAGCAGCAATACCCAAGATGAATGAAAACAGTGTCAGTTTATTCTGTGGGTGTATTAGCACAGGTGACACACACACTGTTCAATCTTGTACAATAATAACATTTATTCTACAACAGTATTTACACCCATACTAGTTCTCATTTAAACTCATACCAGTGCAATCGTTTCATATATTCTATGAAAATATTAACATACTTACGAGTGCAATTAGTACTCAAACACACACAAATAGATTTTATTGGTATTTATTTGTGTGTGTGTTTTCCTGTCTTCACTGTGTATTTAGTTGATGTCTGTGGAATGATAATGAAAGGCTTTCTAATTTGTTTTTCATACATTTCACAAGTATGTTATCGTTGGTATCGGAACAAAAATCTGAATAGCTGTTTCTTTATGTAATTATACTTACTGTGCCTTGTTCTGTCTATATTTTGTGTGTTATATTATTTCGGTTATTTTACATTTTGAACCTTGATGAAGGGTTAATTAATGAATGTAGTTGATACTACAGCTGATTGTTAGCTGACCACCATACACACAGGTCCAGATGCATGACACTGATCAAACACTCGTGAACTGTTCGTGAGTTGGAAAGCAGAAGGTTTAACACAGACAGTGAAGGTCCCCTCTCTGTCTCTGAGCCTCGTCCTGCTGTCCTGTGCTGTGGTGGCGGGGCAGAGGAGTTATTTTCAGACAGCAGGCATGAGAGGAATGTTTACCCACTCCTCCACCACTCTAATCTGGAGCTGCTGTTTGAGACGCCAGCAGTTTGTAATACAACCTCAGTCAGTTACACGTGGAGGGAGTTTCTTTACATTGAATACAGACATCTGCTTGGACAAGAGCGTAACATGGTTAGAATTTGGTGGGAAAAGGTCTAAGGTGTCCTAATGTGTCCTCATATTTGTCTTGTATATAATGACGTTTTACGACAGACCATACTCTGATATTCTACACCAGGGTTTTCACCAATATCAGATATTTCCCACATTGCTTAAAGAAAGAAAACAGTGGGGTCGTCAGGGCTGACACATAGTAACAGATTTACTTTCACACTTAATGACCGCCGAAACTCAATGAACATAACTTGTATATCTTCATCTTGAACTTTTTATTTGACAAATCGTTGTATTGCGGGAAGAAACCGGAGTAAATCCTGACGTCGGCACAGGAAGCAGACGAGATGATCTCTAGAGATAAGGTGATCTTGTGGTCATCCGGCCTGCGCTGTGTTGACGTGGTCCAGACGACCCCTGGTCTTTCACAGATCTCAGGAGTCAAAAACCTTCGTCATCCATTACAAGAGCCAAATTATCTTCAGTTCTCTCCTCTTCTTCAAAACAGACCTTTCAAATATATAGTCTTTAAAAAACTCTGAATGAGGAAGTTTCACATAAAAACGTTTTTTCTACATATATTCCAATAATACAATTATTTTTGTTATTTAAAGGGGACCTATCATGCAAAATGCACTTTTGTACGTCTTTTATACATGAATATGTGTCCCCGGTGTATGTTTCCTCCATACCCAAATCTCTAAAAACGGGGCTGCAACGGATCTGATACAGATATTTTAAATTGTTCTGACGTCAGAAACGGGGTGCTCCGCCTATATGGGCAACTCTCCACCTATCAGGGGAATGTGGGGTTGGGCCACGGCCGGCCATTGCCACTCGAAAGCGCTCGAGACGCTGTAGTACATATGCCAGGCCTGTAAGTGGCGCTGTAGTCTGCCACAAAAGCAGCGAAGAAGGCTTCCCGCGCATGGTTTCCATGGTTGCCCTTCTGTTTATTCTCCGCTGTGGCTCTTTTTCTCCCTCCCCGAGGCAAGCGTTTGCTCCTGTAATTCAATGCAATCCCTCCCCATCGAGGCAACCACTGTAATTCTCTCCGGTTAGTCCACCAGCAGATGACAAACACCCACCTCCTGCCTCTTCCAAGGAACGAGGGGACCGTGCGGCAGAGTTTCAGTTAGATTTTTTCGCCGGTCAACATGTCCGTTAAAGTTTAAATCTTCCGGACAAAATTAGAAAAGTGCCGGTCAAAGGTCTTCTTTGTTATTTATTGAGCTTTAAAACAAATGAATAATGACTCTATATAATCATATAACTTATATGATTATATAGTCATTATTCATTCTTATATGATATAAGAATAACACACGGAGGACGGAGATCTCTTTTCCCCCCCCTCTTCTGACAGCCCAGCAGCTGATCTCAAAGCACGCTCCCCTCTCCTGCAGGGGGGCGTGGTCAGCTGCAGCTCATTTGCATTAAAGCTACGTCACAGAATCAGCCCTTGCAAAAACAAGGCTGGACAGAGCAAATAGAGCGAAATGAGGCATGGCTAAAATGCAGGATCTGTTTGGTATTTTGAAAAAAAACCTATATTTATATACTTTATATAGGTATGGCCCTATAATATATTGTTCAAATATAGCATGATAGGTCCACTTTAAGATGTTTTCTCTTACCTACCTGACCTTTTTTTTTACCTTGTTTTAAAAGAAGGAGGTTCTTTACACTCATTTATAAGCTAAATTGGAATGCAGTTCCATTCTTAACTCTCTCATCTTTCTACAACATACTAGTACATTTTTCGTTGCATATAAGTATCTTTTTGATGACTCGAATTACTTTTTATACTTTTTTTATATGAGTTACTATAGTATGACTTTTAAATATTTGTGTTGACATTTTTATGATATTCTGACTATAGTATTAATATAAGGACTTTCATTCTTTAACAACGTACAATCCTATGACATTCTCCATGACATGACATTTTGTATTGATGCCATTGTTTTACATTTAAATTACAGACAATACTGCAGTCCTGGTAGTAATTACAGTCACTTCTCTGCCTTGTGTTTGTCAACAACATAGCATTTCAAACAGATTTCATGTCTCATTGAATTCATCCCTCCCCTTTTTTTGTGCCTCCCCTCCCCTCCCCCTCAGCTCGCACAGCCCCGAAGACAGCGCCCCCTGGCTCCAAGACGCTGAAGCTGCTGTCCTCGCTAAAACACGTGCCCTCTCTGACCGTGGAGACCCCCACCAAGCACACCGCCCCTCTGTACGAGAGTGAAGAGCTGTAGAGCCTCACACAACCCTGTCACATCCTCACATACACACAGTGTCAAAACTGGGCCTGGCAAAGGTTTTACTAAGTAAGCTTTGGTTCAGATTTACAGCAGTGCAGCAGACCAGGACACAAAAACACTGCCATTTTGACTGATAAACTCTACAGGTTCACTCTACATTTCTTGGAAAAATGAGGTATCATGTTTGCCAATTTTTTAAGATTAAGGCAAAATTACAGTGAAAATCTATGTACTAAATAGTGAAATATTATGGTATAAAATGTGCCTTCAAAACCACAACTCTAACCAAAAGGAGCAGTTGGTAGCTACTTTGATTGAAATGTTTCCATAGTGTTTTGCCTTCTGCGTTAAAATAAGCCCACCTCATGCTGCCCACCTGCCTGTCCTTTCTCTGCAGACCTGATGTTTGATACATGCCTCTAAGCCTCTCCTGCTGTCTGTCATGCTCTCAGCCCATGGTGCCTTCAGGTCATGGCTGTATTAATAGACCTGGATAACGTGCTGCAGACTGCACTTTAATCCTGACAACTGTCAGCTTGTGCCTCGATTTTGTATTCGAGCCTTCCAAAGTCCCTGAATCACGGCTTCTGAGGATGTGCGTCCGTAAAGCTCCATTAATGAGAGGAGATCCGAGAGCTCTGCTGAGGTATAAATGCGGTCTAATGTGTTTTAAAAGTTGTTTAACAATATACAGTGTGAATTAAGCTATTTATTTGAAGGTTATTAATTATCAGTGTTGCCCCCTCTCTTGGCCTGAGGTGTGTCATGGCTGCCATGCTGATACCCAGCCTGAACATAAAACCTGATCTGCACTCAAAAAGACACTCGCAACTAACTTAATCAAGTTTACATTTGATCCCATCGGCAGTGCGGATTACACGTTTTTACATTTCACTCAAAAGGAGAATATCAGTATTTTTTCTCCTTCGATGCAATAATCCTGTTCAGTAGGAATCAGTATGTCAGCCAAACTCAAAATGTCAGACCGGTGCCTTACATATAAAGAAGCTTGATCTGTCTGCATACAGTTTTTGTTACTGCCAGCCATTAAGTAATTTCACAAAGGAAATGTATACTTGGCTGGATATGCATGCAAAGAAGAATATCTGATATTTAACCCTGCGTGGCAACAAACTGCCTGAAATAAAGTATTTTTACAACGTATCAAACAGGGTTGAACATTGGATTGTAATAGTTCTGTGAGATTTTAAACTGCAGGTAGTAGTGTGTATTGTTTGTTGTGTAAGTTCTACATATCACTGGATGAATGAGGAATAAAGTGTATGTGACCTTAGCCGCCTGTTGTTTATTTTTATTTATTTTTTATAATTCAGCCCTTTGACTTCTGAGAGAATAGGGTTCAACAACTAAAAGTAACTTTCATTATTAATGACAAGTGGCCATCTTGTGAACGTGTCCAAATCCTGTAGATGAAAACCTGCTTTCATTTTACTCATGGTGATGATTTATAAGTTCATAATAGTCATTTGATTGAGTTGAACTAACTATTTTGTATTCATTTTATAATAGTTATTTTATTTAGTTGAACCAACTTATTTATATAAGTTCATAAGTTATTTAGATTGAGTTGAGCTATCTTTTTAAATTCATATTCTAATAGTTATTTTCATTGAGTTGAACCAATGTTATTTTATAAGTTCATAATAGTTATTTAATTGAAGTGAACTAACTATTTATAATGAATTAATAATAGTGGTTTAATGAGGTCGAATTGACTGATAGTATGTAGAAAATATCCCTAAAAAACGACACAGTATACTATGTCAAAAATATCAGAAAAAAAGAATGTCGAAAATATGCAAAAAAACGACATAGTATGTGCAGCATCAGAGCCAGTGACACCAGCATAATCAATACACTGATCAGGAAAGCTGGGGTTGTCATCAGCATCAAGCTGGACCCCTTTGAAGCTGTGGTGGAGAGGAGGACACTGAACAGGCTGCTGTGCATCATGGATAACCCACCCATCCTCTCCACCTGCAGCTGGACAGTCAGCGGAGCTCCTTCTCCAACAGACTGCTGCAGCTCCGCTGTCACAAGGACCGATGCAGGAACTCATTCCTGCCCACTGCAATAACTCTGACAGAGAACTCTCTGCTACATAGTTTCTCTTGGAATAACCACATTGTACATTTATATAATCTGTTCAATATTTAATATTCCATCTGTCACATACTTATGTATATATAATACCTTGCTTTATATCTTGTTATTGTTCATTTCTAAATTCAACATGTATATTTTCTACTTTCTTGTTTATTTCTTGTCTTTTAATTTGTGTTGTACAATGCCATGTCTTTTTATGCTGCTGCAACACATACATTTCCTAAATTGGGATCAATAAAGTACTATCTTATCTTATGTCAAAAATATATGAAAAAAAGAATGTTGAAAATATCCGAAAGAAAACACGTATGTCGCAAACAAATAAAAAACTATATACGGTAGTCAAGCATGTTGAACACATGAATAAAACATTTGAAAGTAAAGTGTATTGAAAACTGAAAAAAAACAAAGTATGATATGTCCAAATATTTGAAATAAATATGTAGTATGTGGAAATATCTGAAAAAACTAGCATAGTATGCGGCCATTTTCAAATCCTGCTGATAAAGACCCAGGACTTCAGATCACACACATTACATATCATGTAGCTGACGCTTTGGATTCAATGTTTTCCATTTTCAAATATTTTCAATTTGTAGAATTTTTATTAAAATCAAAAGTAGACAATATCAAAAAATCACATGAAACTGTTTCTGGCTAAAAGAGGTTGTGAGGTGGCAGATAATAGAACGTATTTCAACTTGATTCTTTACAAAAATGTTTAACAACCTAAACAACAATCGCCACAGGTGTCATGTTCTCCAATATGAACACACTCACAGTTCATACATGTATTCATGTATATATACAGTAATGGGCAGAGTATCCAGGAGTACAGAGAAAGGAATGTAAATAGGAAAAGCGTCTAGTTGCCTCATTGATCGATGTTCCAGTCCAAATAAAGTAAAAATGGAAGTGCCCAGCTCTAAACCAATGTTTGACTTCACCTGAATAATTGTAGGATTGTAGAAAAACATTGTGACAACTACATAGGGGCGTCAAATAATAAGTCTTCTTAAGATGTAGTCAGTTTAAACGAGGCTAATGTATCGTGGCAGGCACTTGGACAGTTCCTTGCAATTGAAACAACTCCTCACATCTTTTCCAATGACACCTGGTGTTAGTTTTCTTCAAAGAGTGCCTTCACATGTCACACTGAATCCTGTCACACAGCACCTGCTTGACATTTCGGATTAGATCAAAACATTGCCTTTTGATGTGACATCTGCGGTTTACAAATGTAACTCCGTTGATTAAATAACTTTGGTTCAGATGAGATTTCCCTCCTTCAAAAGTCAAACACATTTCATGAACAAGACAACAAGTGAGAAAAAGTCTATAATCAAAATCGAAAATATACGTTTTGAATACCAGTGGACGGTGCTTCAAAGAAGTAATATCATATGGATATGGCCAGGATTATTAAAGAGTATGTGATCTGGGCTCTTCCTGTTGTAACGGTAAGTGATGGCTCCAACAAGAAATGTGAATACTGCTGTGTGTAGGTTGGCTGTTCTGATGAGTGTCGGTGGTGTAAAGGACCAAGATGGCGGCTGATTGAGGACTTTTAAAAAGAGGACCTTCTAAAAGAAAGCAGGAACAGAGCTCGAGTCTTTTCAGTCCTTCCAGAAATGTAGTTTCTGTAAAAGCTGCAGTCATGAAGTGATGTTTGATGTGATGCAACAGAACGCTGCAGGGAAAGCTCCGCCCCTTTCATCCTCAAGTCAAATCTCTACGTCGCTCTCTTTGTCGTTGTCGTGGTCACCGTCGTAGAACTCATTGGCTGCCTCGGGTCTGATGGAGACGCATGATTGACAATCAGTATATTATTATTTATGAAAACAGTGATGCAGTTATATGTACAGCACTTTGGCTCGACCAAACATCTTTATAAATGTGCTATATAAATAAAACTTGATTTGATTTAAAATAAGTATGCAATTAGGTCATAGTATAGTATGAAATAAAAGTCATAAAAAACTCATAATATATAGCATGCTATTAACAAAATATTTTAAACATAGTATGCAATAAACAAGTCATACTAAATATGTTAAAAAAGTATAATTTGTTATGAAAAAAGTAATATATAGAATGCTGTTAAAAAAAGTCACTTACGTATTTCATAAAAAGGTAATAAAACAAAATAAAGAAATCATAAAAAGTCATAGTATAGCATGTGACTAAAGGAGTCAGTTGTATATTATGCTATCAAAAAACACAAAGATATAATTGTGTAGTATTTGATAAAAAGTTATTATAATGTTATAGCCCCCTCCCTCAGCCCCTCCAGGTGTACCTGGTGTAGGGTTCCTCCCCCCCCCTCTCGTCGGGGTCGGGCTCGTCGGTGCGTTCGTAGCTTAGTATGTCGGAGGGCACGTCGTGGATCTGGACGCTGGGAGCGTGGTTCAACATCTTCAGGTTCTCAAACACCGTCTGACGGATCTGCTCCAGATACTGAGACAACAAGAACAGACTCTTTTCATGATGTGCTTGGGAGGAGACTGTAACATCGTTTCTGTCAATGGAGTCTGGAGGCTTTAAAGAGAGCCTAAATAACGGCTTCCTCAGAAAGGGCTGTGGACAGCATAATAAACATATTGTAAATACAGTGTACACTCAAACTGATATGGATTTGTTTGGGGTGTTTTAAAATGTGATTTGCTGTACATCTGAGCTTCCTGCTGGTACTCCCGTTTGTTTCTCCAGACTTCATTTGTTTGCAGCATTATCTACTTCTCATGGAAAGGAAGGAATTATGGATTCATATATCGTTATAATTGGACAATTTCTCACCTGTCTGGAGTTCTGGTTCTCTATCCTGGTGCTGACATCTGGATGCAGCGTGAAATCTGGAGCAAAGTACTCAAAATATTCTGGAGGAGGAGGAGGAGGAGGAGGAGGAGGAGGAGGAGGAGGAGGATGAGGAGGAGGAGGAGGAGGAGGAGGAGGAGGAGGAGGAGGAGGGTCAGAATCCAGAGAACATACAACATAGATTATTGTCTGTCTCTGTGAGAAAGCATTTCTGTTCAATTCTTCCTCTTTCAAAAAGTTTCAAATGTCAGATAACTCCTCTTCCAAAAGATGGCGCCAAAGGTTGGAAATGCTACATTTTGATATCTATGCCACAAAAACATAATAGGACTCTGAAACTGAAGCCATTTTGGATAAAGGGAATCAGGGTGTTAGATCATAATGATGAAATGAGACGTTGGTATTTGGTGTATCTAAGAAGCACTCACCGCTATACGGCAGCTCATCACTGATGGGTTCGTCCAATAACAGAGACGTCTCAAAGGTCCTACAGCAGAGCAAAGCAGGTTCTTGTTAGGGGCAGATCTGCTGTTCTCTATCAACTCAGAACCTCCTTAACATGACGTTATGTGCAGAGAACCAAACTCACCAGCAGCGAGCCACGTTCCTGACCGTGTACCCCCCCCCTCCCAGGACCAGCAGAGGGATCCTGAAGCTCTTTACGAACTCCACACACTCTCTGGAAGACAGAGGTTACAGAGACAACAGTTAGTTTTCCTACTGGATCCCCGCACAGACAAAAGTGCAGTAGAATTTCTGCTCTTATAACAAAAAAAGGGAAAATATATATTTGTTTTCTTTTACACAATACATTATAATGACAGATTCCAACAGTGCAGCTCAGAACAACACTTCTTGTTCACTCGAATGAAGCTTTGAATTCCTGTCGCTATATTTGATGACATTATCAACATAAAACTCTTTGTTCTTTGGACCAAATCCTCAATTAGAATAAAGCGATTCATTGGATTAAATGAGTGGTTGTTTTTTTGTTATCATTTAGCATTTTGGGGTTCAGTGTGTCGCCCATGGACATTTCAGAATGTAGAATTCAGTGCGCATGGATCAAAGCAGCTACTTTCTGATTCATGAACAACTGCTGTGCGGCCTGGGCCAGAGTGACTGTCCTCCTCCATTATATATTTCCTCAAATAGACCTCATCAACAATTTACTCATTTCTAGATGGAGCCACAGCATTGGACTTTTTCTTGTGTGCATCACATTCTCACGGTAGTTTGGTCATCATACAAATAAATACCCTATACCAACATAGAAATAAATGTTTTCTGTTCCGTTTAATTTCTCATTGCAACTTCTTATGTTAAAATGTGTATTTCATTCTATTTTATTCT